ATCCCATCCCCACTACTATTTCCTCTTTTCTATCTTATTTGTTTTTCAAGACTCAGCCCAGGTTTCATCTCCTCTAGAAGCCTCCCCTGGGAACCATAGCTGGGCTGGATGTTCCTCTCTTGTGCTTACTACTATTGCAATGTCCACCATCGTCTCTAGAGTTCATTTATTTGCCTGTTTCTGACACTAAAGCTTGGTTGTAAGCTCTTGAGCAAGAAACTGAATTGAACATCTCTTAAGTGCTTAATAGACTGTACTACCTCTTAAGAAAATGACCTATTTGCCTCATGCCTCAGCAAAGAATACATTTTTATAATACAATTATGTTCAGTTTACTGACTGTCAACAATGTGCTAAACATAAAGTTAGATGTAGCTTTTTTCCAGTGGCCAGAGCTCCTAATTTTAATCATGATTATCTAGATTCTTTTCCTTGACGCCTTCTTAATGATATAGTCAATGAAAGAAAATAATAAATGTTTATCATACAAAATTTTAGCTAATAGAGGCTGTTCTGTGCTTCTTTATTATATAGTCATTAAGATACAGAATTTTATTCATACTTCAGGTTTTGCCCACAGCAAAATAAACTGCATTTATAAACATGGAAGTGTTTCTACTTTCCCCCAATAAGTCTAGAGGAAATGATCTCTTGCTGGTTTTAAGGCTAAGGCTTTCACTGGCACATTAAGTGTCCATGACCCTCTGATAATAGTCTGTGCCACAGCCTCACCCCAGTGTATTGTGTGGGCCCTTGACTAGACTTTCTCCTCAACCACTTCGAACTGTACCTCATCTGCCCAAGAGACATTTTGTTGTGTGGTTTCCTACGTGCAATGTCTCCCTTGTGCTCTTCTCAGTGCAGTTCCGTCTGAAGCAAATTGGTTCCCTTTGACAGAAAACACTATTCATGAGAAAAAATTCCCAATGAAAAGAATCCTAGACTTCAGTGCTGAGGTTCAGCAACATAAGGAATGGCACAATTGCATGAGGATTAGAACTTTATGTGTGACTGACTTCAGGCTCCAACCAAAGCAATGGCGGCATCAGGGTAAATCCTCTTAGGCTTTAACTCGCTCTGAACCACCCCTCTGAGGTCAAGGTTCATGGTAAAATGTGTTCAATCTATGCCCTGAAGTACTTTGAGCCTCTAAATCTTTGAAAGAGTATTTTACTTCTTCATTCCAGGTTAGAAAATCATCATCAGGAAAGTGGAAATAGGATTATTTGATGGTCTCATGTTAGATTCCTTATTTCTTTAGATAAGCACCTGCTCCTATTACTAGGAACTTCTTACAAGATTTTAAAAACAAATGTCTTAGGTGATATGAATGTTTCTGCCTACTTACAGTGGATCACTGGTTTTCAAACTAAGTTCTGAGTGTCCTAATGGGTTCCTTGGAAATCCTCAGGATGAAGAAGGATGAGTAAATGGGGATCCTCACCCCAGTTTCAATATGAACAACTCTATTTTTGTCCATTTTGTATAAATTGGGCTCTAACACATATTCATTTGAAGAAAGGGTTTCACAGCTTAAAAATGGGTTTTGAAAAAGAAACAGAACTAGGATACTTTTTTTTTTTTGTCAGTAGTTAGCTCAACTGCAAGCAAGTAAAGTAGGCTTAGGACACTGGTACTGCTACTTGTTCAGAGCAGCAACTTTATTTTCTTACTCATTTATATCACAAATATTTACTGAACTCCTCCTAAATACTAGGCACAGTGCCAAGTGCTAGGATATAATATAGGCATGGTACCTGCCCTCATGGACTGTGTAGTCTACTGGAAAGTCAGGCAATTAAATAGGTAATTATCATGCATTGTAATAAATAGGTGTGTGTGGTAAAGAAAGGGAGTCAAGAAAGACTTCTGAGTGTTAGGAAAGCAGAAGTATTCAGGAAACAGGACTTACATATGTAAAAGTCTGTGGGTGAGAAAGACCATGGATCTCTTGAAGAACTGAAAAAAAAAAGTATTAAGTCTGGAGTGTAGAGTGCAAGTTAGAGGAGCCTTGTAAGCTCTCTTAAGGGGTATGGACTTTAACTTAAGAGCCATAGGAAGTAGTAGGGCAAAACAATCAGATATTTGTTTTTAAAACCTCACTCTGGCTGTAGGGTGGATAATGGAATGAAAAGGAACAGAGAGGGGAACCAGAGAAGACTGTTGGAGTGTTTCAAGTGAGAACTCCCTGGGGTTTAAGGGAGAGTGCAGGTAGAGAGGTGTGACCAGAGTCCGGAGATAATGCAGTATTAGATTCAAGTTATATGATGATTGATGGGATGGGTGTTGGGTATGGAAGAGAGATTGTCAAGGATGCTATTCAGTTTTCTGATTCAGGCAACTGAGTAGATAGTGGAGTTGTTTGTGGAGCCTAGGAACTCAGGGGAGAGGGTCACGTTTAGAGGGAAGGTGATGAGATTTATTTTAGACATGTTGAGTCAGAGATCCCTGTGAGCCATCTGTGTGTCCATGTTAAATAATAGCAGTGGATGTTTGGGTTCATAGGTTAGGACATAGTCTGGGCTAGAGATATAGTTGTGGGACTCATCAGGGTAGAGATGGTGATCAATGTCTTGAGAGCTGAATGAATGAAAGTTCCTGGAGAGAGTGAATGGCTGTGAAAAGAACTGGAGTCCTGCTGGTGTGGCTCAGTGGTTGAGAGTCAACCCATGCACCAAGAGGTCACCGGTTCGATTTCTGGTCGTGACACATGCCCAAGTTGTGAGCCCGATTCCCAGTGGTGGTCATGCAGGGGGCGGCTGGTCAATATTCTCTCTCATCAATGTTTCTATCTTTCTCTCTCTGTCACTTCCTCTCTCTCTAAAATCAATAAAGGGTGGGGAGGGATTGGAGGCCAAAGAGAAGGAAAATAGAGAAGGTAGTGTCAGCAAAGCCAAGAGAAGAGTGCGGTTCAAGGAGGGGTAAGTGAGAAATAGTGTTAAATGTTGCAGAGGTCACAGTATGAAAAGTGTCTTCAAAATGCAGGTCTACATTCTGTCTGTGACAATATTCAAAAGCTGTCTGTGATTGCCTTCGGTCTAATCGAAAAGTTTTCTGTACTAGTCCAGGAACAAACCTCATGTGTAACTGTACAAAATTAACCAGGGAACGGCACCTTTAATTCTCAATGAGCAGCTACTTCATGGAGAGTTTTTGTAAATATCTGAAGAGGTTTAAAAACCAAACAACTAATGAATGAAATATCCCTCACCACATACATCTGGGCAAGCAATTAAAGCTCTCTCTGATGTAATTTTTCTGAAAACCTAAAAACCAAAAGCTGGAGTTCCACATGGTGTGCTCTTTAATGTAGTATAATGTTAGTATAATGTAAAATATAATAAATATAACTTGGAGATAAACAACTAGAATAGGTGGGACACACACACACACACACACACACACACACCAAAACACTTGGCAAAGTCATGTTAACCCATAATTACATTTCCCCCCGACTTACTTTTACCCTTCACCTAGATCCCCTTCGCTTCTGCCTCCATTCCACCTGTAATTTGGGGTTAACGTTAAGGGAGCTATGGTTGCTGGTAAATAGGTTGAGTTTCTTCACAGGAAGGGATAGTGTTTTCCACGCTGTAAGTGGTTCTTTGCAGATATTCACCACTATATAAACCTCATGACTGGAAGGAAACTTATCCAGCCGAACTTCCTCCTTTTATAGTCCAAGAAATTAGGGTAGAAAGAAACGAAGTAACCTGAGCAATGACACACTTCAGGCACAGAGTAGGCAGCTGAAGTAGGTCCATATACAGCCTGCCCGTATGTATAGAAAGAGTGCTTCTTGGAGATGACAGAGAATTAACATGCACTCTGCCCCATTGTATACTAGAAGACTAAATCTGCTCAAGTCAAGCTGTTAAACCATTCGGATATAAAAGAAAAAGTTTAGGCGCTGGTGGGCCACAGGCCGGCCGGGCGGGGACATCTCCCTGCACAGCGTTAGCGCGAAGCTGTGGGAGCCGCTGGCCCGCTCCCATGTCACGGGCTGACGGACTCGCTCTTCCCGTGCGTGGGGGCCACGCCGCAGCGTGTGCAGCCGCTATGACTCCATCCCTGTGTCCACCTCCCTCCTCGCAGACACTTCAGACGCAACCTCCACTGGCCTTGCCCAGCGCTTAGCCAGGAAGACCAACAAGCAGGTGTTTGTCAGCTCTAACCTACAGAATATAGACAGTAACTTCGCATTACTTGTAGAAGGCAGGATCAAGGAAGAAATGGAGGCTTTTCCCGAAAAGTTCTAGCTGAGTGGCAGACGTGAGGATCTAATTTATGTACAACATACATTTAAATAAGTGAATTGAATTTCACTATCAACAGGTTAAAAAATAAAGAAAAAGGTTTACTTTTGTACGTTTGAGAGGCTTTGTGAGAACCAGTCCACAAATATGAATTCTCTTTGTATTTTCTGTTTCAATGCACTATATGCAAAATTTTGTTTCCAAAGAGATTGAGAGATGCACACTGATTTATTCTCTGGTAGTCTGTGTAGCTTGAATCTTGCTCCAGGGCACTTTCTACTACAGCACTCGAGCTCATCCACCATCCCTTTCCCAATTGTATCAAATTTGGACCGTCCAATGAGATGTCAGAGATTCATGTGGCTGCCTGACTAGGACGTGCAGTGGGACAGGGAGAGGCTGAGCCAGGAGATGCTAAGTCCAGCTGTCTCTGAGCCAGGTGAGTGTAAGAGAAGAATGGCTTTCTGTGCATAGATCCAATCCTGAACTGACAAAGAACTTGATGGGATGATAGAGGAGGTAGCTCTCGAAATACTGGAAATCCCAAACCCATGGAAGGTGATGGAGCATAAGGAAAGACCTCAGACTGTGAACTCAATGGACTTGGCTTGGAATCCCAACTGCAAACCATGGTTATAAAGATGCAATGGAATAAAATATGTTAAAAACAAACAAGCAAACAAAAAACAACCGTAAACTATGTAAATTTTAGTTTCTCTTTCTTTGCCTTAAATTCCGTAGGAATTCCATCTATGCCCTCTCTCTTCGCATCCCCACCAAATGGCTCTGCTAAAGAAAGACTCAAGCTTTTGCTGATCTACTACTGAAGCATCTTGAAATTTGGACCTACAGTTTCAGAAGAAGTTGACATGGTGAGCTAACACTGTTGTGTTTTTTTCTTTTCAGTTTCATTTAGATGTAATTGACATATAATACTGTATAAGTTTAAAGTATACAACATAATTTGATATGTGTATATATTGCAAAATGATTACCACAATAAGATTAGTTAACATTCATCACCTCACATAGTTATAATTTCTTTTCTTATAATGAAAACTTTAAAATCCACTCTCTTAACAACTTTCAAATGTACAATATACAAAGTATTGTTAACCATAGTTATCATGTTGTACATTATATGCTCAGAACTTATTTAACTTATAACCAGAAGTTTGTACCTTTTGAATACTTTCATCTAATTCCTCCATCCCCCAACCCCTACCTCTGGCAGCTGTAAATCCAATCTCTGTTTCCATGAGTTTGGTTTTTTAAACTTCCACATAGAGGTGAAATTATACAGTATTTGTCTTTCTCTGATTTATTTAACATAGCATAATGCCCTCAAGGTTTATTCATGTTATTGCAAATGGCAAGGTTTCCTTCTTTATTATGGCTAAATAGTATTCTATTATATCACAATTTCCTTTTTTAACTTTTATTTTTCAGTTACAATTTGCACTCAATATTATTTTGTATAAATTTCAGGTGTACAGCATGGTGGTTAGACAATCATGTACTTTAAAAAGTAGTCCTTTTGCCGGGGCCGGTTTGGCTCAGTGGTTGGAGCATCAGCCTGTAAACCAGAGAGTCCTGGGTTCAGTTTCCGCTAGGGGCACGTACCGATAGATAGATAGATAGATAGATAGATAGATAGATAGATAGATAGATAGAAGTCCTTTTGATATTTTAAGTACCTGAATGGCACCTTACATAATTATTACAATATTATTGACTATATTCCCAATGCTTTACTTTACATCCCCAGGACTATTTTGTGACTACCAATTTGTACTTCTTAATTCCTTCACCTTTTCACCCAGCCTGTAACCCTCTTCCCCTCTGACCACCATTAGTCTGTTCTCTGTATCAATGAGTTTATTTCTATTTTGTTTGTTTGCTTATTTCATTTTTTAGGTTCCACACGTATGTGAAATTATATGGTATTTGTCTTTTTATGTCTGACTTATTTCACTGAGCATAATACCCCATAGGTCCATCCTAGCTGTCACAGATGGTAAAATTTCATTCTTTTTTATGGCCAAATAATACTTCATTGTATATATGTATTGCCACTTTTTTATGCACTCGTCTATTGATGAGCACTTGGATTGCATCCATGTCTTGGCTATTGTAAATAATGCTGCAATGAACATAGGGGTTTATATATATTTTTGAATTCGTATTTTGGATTTCTTCATATATATACCCAGAAGTGGAATTGCTATGTTATAAGGCAGTTCCATTTTTAATTTTATGAGGAATCTCCATACTGCTTTCCACAGCAGTCGCACTGTGTTGATTTATTGATGATAGCCATTCTGACAGATGTAAAATGGAATCTCGTTGTGGTTTTAATTTGCATTTCTCTGATAATTACTGACTGAGTATCTTTTCATATGTCTGTTGGCCATCTGTATGTCTTCTTTGGAGAAGTGTCTATTCGGGTTTTTTGCTTATGTTTTTTTTGGCATGCTTTTTTTTTTTTAAATTGTGGAAAGTATTACAGATGTCTCACTTTTTCCCCCATTGACCCCCTCCTCCCTCCTCCAGCCTAGTGTCTTTGTCAATTGGTTGTGCATTTTTTGCCCATTTTTAAATTGGATTATTTGGGGTTTTTTTGGTGTTGGGTTGTGTAAGTTCTTTATAAATTTTGGATATTAACCCCTTATATGATGTATCATTGGTGAATATGTTCTTCTATTTAGTAGGTTACCTTTTTGTTTTGTTGATGGTTTTCTTTGCTGTGAAAAAAACATTTTAGTTTGATGTAGTGCCATTTGTTTATTTTTTTGTTAGCCTTGCCCGAGGCTATAGACATCTGAAAAATATTGCTAAGAGAAATGCTAGAGATTTTACTGCCTATATTTTCTTGTAGAATTAAAAAAATTTTTTTTTCCTTTATTGATTTTAGAGAGAGAGGAAGGGAGAGGGAGAGAGAGATAGAAACATCAGTGAGAGAGAACATCGATTGGCCACCTCCTGCATGCCCCCCACTGGGGATTTGGCCCACAACCTGGGTATGTGCCCTGACTGGGAATCGAACCAGGAACCTCTTGGTGCATGGGTCGATGCTCAACCACTGAGCCATACCAGCCAGGCTCTTGTAGGATTTTTATGGTTTCAAGTCTTACATTTAAGTCTTTAATACATTTTGAGTTTATTCTTGCACATGGTATAAGAAGGTAGTCTAGTTTCATTATTTTGCCTGTATCTGTCCGGTTTTCCTAACACCATTTATTGCATAGACTGTTTTTATCCCACTGTTTGTTCTTTCCTCCTTTATCATATATAAATTGACCATATAGGTATTGGTTTAATTCTGGGCTCTCTATTCATTCTGTTCCTTTGATCTATGTATAGCATATAATACATTTCTTTATCCATTGATCTGTTGATGGACACTTAGGTTGTTTCTGTGTCTTGGCTATTGTAAATAAGACTGCAAAAAACATGCAGGTGCAGATCTGTCTTTGGGACAGTGATTTTGTTTCCTTTGGCTATATACCCAGAGTGGGATTGCTGAATCATGTGGTAGTTCTAGTTTTAATTTTATGAGGAACCTCCATACTGCATTTTATAATAGCTGTATCAATTTACATTTTACCAATAGCACACAAGGGTTCCCTCTTTTTTACATCCTTGCTAGCATTTGTTATTTATCTTTTTTTTTTTTTTATGATAGCCATTCTTACAGGTGTGAGGTGATACCGCATTGTGATTTTGATGTGCATTCCTCAATAATTATTATTGGTGTTGGCCAACACTATGGTGATAAGGGAAAAAAGTATTTGTGGCAAAGAAAAATGACTTGCAGTTTATAATACCCAACTGATTTCAAAGGAAATTCTTTGTTTGCTGAACAGAGTAGTGGGTATGAGGATGCAAGGTTAAGAGAATTTACTAAATTGTTTTGCATTCGAAAAAAATTATTTTTGCAGGAGGTAGAGAAAAAGGGCAGGGTTAAGGGACAATGCAGTGAGATCCAGACCACGAAAAACTTAGAACCTATGTGTGGACAAGATTAAAGGGTAAAGAAGATTAAAGTGTGAAGAAGTAGCTGAGGGGAACTTTCTGGGGAAACCCGAGTTGTTTAATAGGAGTTTCTATTAGCCCTGGCCGGTTTGGCTCAGCGGTTGGAGCGTCGGCCTGCGGTACAGAGAGACCGGGGTTCGGTTCCCGCTAAGGGCATGTACCTCGGTTGCAATTTGTCCCCGGCCCTGGTTGGTCGTGCGGGTGGCAGCCACTCGATGTGTCCCTTCACATCGATGTTTCTCTCTCTCTCTTCCTCTCTCTCCCTCCCACTCTATCTGAACAAAAAATGGAAAAATGTCCTCAGGTGAGGATACAAAAAAAAAAAATAGGAGTTTCTATTAAAGTATACCTTGTGGTGCTTGATATAATTCTTTCATGCACTGCTCCATGAAATCTACAATAAAACCTATTTTTCTTGTTAATGTCTTAGGGGAGTTGAATTTGTTCCTGTTCAGAAGTGTAGAACTGCTGAGTCCTACTTCATGGTGTCTGGTGTACTCAGGACAGGGCTGGGAGGCACAGGCATATCTGGGTCACTTTACTAATAAATATCAGTATCCTCAGCTGAAGATATACATTATTTTTTAAAAGCGGAATAAAGAAATAAACACCTGGAAACTATCATCACTGGACTCAGAACAATATAGCTTAGCTCTAAAAGATGAAAGTCAAGTTTCATCTGGCAAAGGCACACAAAATTCAGGTTTTGGCTTAACTCAGAACTTCCCTATGTACCTCTCAAAATTGTTCTAGACCTTTCACTCCAAATATTTACAACTTGAATAATGTCACTTGTTCAGACCATTTACTTGATGCTGCAAAATGTGTGTGAAAAAGTCAAGGAGTAAAACAGAACTCAGAAAATCCTAAGGCAGAGACTTTCAATTGACTGAGAGGTCGTTCCATGCCCAGAAAACCAACAGCAGCAGCCTTCGAGCTTGTCTGTGAGGTAATGGGGTGATGGGTTAGATTTTCAGAGCTTCTAGCAGAGCCTGTGGTCACAGGCTCCATAGTTCTACTTCCCCACAATTTCCTGTGCTTTTTCACAGTAAACAGGACCTATTAGGAAGCAAGAAGTAGTTTTTTAAAAAAAGGTCCAGAAAAACATATACCTTGAAAAACTGATAAGGTGGAAATTGGATATGGAGAAAGATGAGAGAGTCCAGGATAGACTCCTGGAAGCTTTTAACATTTGAGAGCAACAGTATGCTGCTTGGAAATAAAGGCTACTCGAATGAATAAAACTGCAGGAATTTGTTGCGGGAGCTTAATTGCTTCAAGCCTTTGATGCCACTTTCAGAACAGCTACCATTTTAATTGGGAAATTGGTTTCTACAGAATGACTGACAGGTACAAATGAGTGGATGGTGCTCTGCTGCAAGCATAGCATAAAGATACCCCTGAATGGGCTGCGGTGAGCCACCACGGAAGCCAGCTCTAAGGACTGAGCGTCATAATGTAGAAGAAAACAAGATTCAGAATCTGATGGCCAAGATGAGAACCCAAACTCTAATACTTGCTGTCTGTCAAGTAACAGGTCACTCAGTTCTTCTGAGCCTCAGTATCCTCTTCAATAAAATGAGGCATGGTATGTCACATGATTGTGATAAGCCTCTATAGATATAAAATGTGAATGGAGGCACTTAAATTTTTTTTCTTAATTACAAAAGCAATACATGTTCAATGCAAGAAACTTGGAGAACAAAAAAAGGCAAAGGACACCTGAGCGAGTGGCTCAGTTGGTTGGAACATCATGTACACCGAAGGTGGCCGGTTGCATTCCCAGTCAAGGCGCATACCCAGATTGGGGTTCAATCCCTGGTCGGGGAACGTATGG